AACCAGGATGGTACAGAGAACCGGACTGCTCAGGCAGTACGATCTCTGTAACATCGAGGAGAATTGGCAGGAGCCAGCGGAGCCTGAACCCGAAAGCGACAATGAGGAGAGACTTCGTGGTTGAGGGAGAGGGTGAGAGGGCTAGGAGGTGTCTAGTCGTGGCCAGCTGAAGCCATCTGAACCCAGGCAGCTGGCGATAGTGGTGAAGATGGTCAACTTTGATAGACTGAGTCTATAGAAGCTGGTTGGCTAGGGTCCTAGTTAATCAGGAAGAGGAGGAATCGTAAGGGATTTCCAGTGGAAGCTGGCGTCTACGTGGGACCTTAAATGTGACCCGAAGGACGTTAAACGAGACTAAATAAATAAATGCCAAGACGTTTAGGTACTAATTAGGTAATTAATGCTCGCTGCAGCAATTCATTCCCTCCACCTCTCGAGTCGGAACCCGACCACTTCGGCCGACAGATCAACTCCAACTCGATCAAGATCAAGATCGAAATCATATCAAGATCAAGAGAAAGATCCACACCAACATCAAGAGGAAGAGGAAGATGAAGCATCGAGCACTGAGCACCGAGCATGGCGCATGATGCATAGATCGAGCGCGTCTTGATCCCTTGGTACAGAAGTAAACCGGCGATAGTGACCCGTCCTGTACCGTGCAGAATGAAAGCTACACTGGCAGTACAGTTGAGGTATGGACCATGTGTAGTTATGGACAGGACATTCTGTCATTACGGGCCATCTGGATCTGGATTCTGTATCCTGTAGATTATACGGATACAGTGTACTCGTAGTCTGGATTCTCTAACCGTAGTTTATGGATTCTATGTAGTCTGGATTCTCTAACCGTAGTTCATACGGATCCTGTGTAGTCCGTGCTCTGTACGTCAGTACCGTGCAGGAGTAGTGTGGTGTATATCCGTCCTCTGCGCTGGAGACTGACAGGACTCAAATCTCCACCTTGGCAAGTAAAAGCGAGTCTAGACATGTCTAGCATCAGTTCAACCAAAAGATATGCGTGTGTACCCCGTACGTGTAGAGTGAATAATTAAAAGAGTAAGTGTACAGAGTGAATATTTAAAAGAATAAATGTACAGACTCCAGAGTATGATTGTGACCAGCAAGCATCATTGATGTTCTCTGCCTCCCTTTCCCTCTCTCTTTCCCTTTCCCTTTCACTTGGTTCTGACATTCGGTGAATGTGGCTAGGTAGGTATTCAATATTCACCTGTTGATGCCGATCCCTACACTGGCAGTGTGCTGCGTACTGTACAGAGTACAGAGTACAGAGTACAGTATGGGTGTGGGTGTAACGCCAAACATGCAATGCAGATTGCGAATGAGTACGTTTCTCTATTGATCAAAACAAACCCTCCAAGTGGATGCCGTCGCTAAAGACCAATGCCGGATCGTGGTCGCCAAACACCGTCATGAAAAGAGAACCGTCCCAGATGGCCAAGTGCCCAACTTCAGGCCCAGTCCTCGCTGTTCTATATGAGAGGACAATTGTGTTTTTGCTTCAGTATCCATCCCCTACAAGCACCCAAGGTGTCGAGCC